CTCTTTCCTCCTCCTCATCCCGCGTCCTCCTCCCTCCCTTCTCCTCCTCGCCTCCTCCTCCTCCTCTCCTCCTCTCCTCCTCTCCTCCCTCTCGTCCTCGTCGGCCTCCTCCTCTTCGTCCTCCTCCTCCTCCTCTTCCTCCTACTTCCTCCTCTCCCGATGCTCGCGGGCGGCCGGCGGGGCGGAGACTCCTGGATGCGGTCGCCAGGCCGCAGGCCTGGCGAGGCGAGCCGCAGCGACATTGAAGCCCGCCTGAAGCGCTTCAATGCGGGCCCGGCCGCAGGAGGAGGAGGGAGGAGGAGGCAGGGAGACAGAGAGAGAGAGCGGAACCTGGACCCCCTCGCGTCGTGAAGAATCCCGGCGGCAGGTTTTGCATACCTTGGGCCTCTGGGAGCTTTTGCCGGGCCCCAGGACCGTCAACAAACAACGCAGGCTGAAGAACCAACCCTGGCAAGGTAGTCGATATCTCTGAGGGTCGACATTGCGAAACAGTCACGACGTCGGGGTCCGATGTGGAGGAGGAGGGAAGGAGGAGGAGAGGGGCCCTAAGGTCCTTGCGTCGCAACTTCACCAGAACTGGCGACGTTGCTGTGGTTCGTGCCTCGTGACCTTCACGAATCGATGCCAGAGCCATGAAAATAGTTTAGGGATGTTGCGAGGGTGCACGACCGCAGCCCTCTTGGATCAAAAAGGATCGCGGCTCCGAGGACGGGGCCGCGCATGGTGGCGGAGCCCGTGGCCTCAGGATCCACGGGTTCTGCGTCGGAGGTGCCAGCCTAGCAGCCCAGCGGGGAGCACCCCGGGCTGCGGAGGGCAGCCACCCAGCCCAGCAGCCCAGCGGGGAACACCGCGGGCTGCGGAGGACGTCCCAGCGCCCTGCGGGGAGCACCGCGGGGCAGCGGAGGGCAGTCCCCAGACCCCTTGCCGGCCGAGGTTCAACTTCGGCGGGCGCCACAGCGACGGGGCGCAAGGAGCAGAAGAAGCAGCGAGGGCGGCGGTGGTCGGAGGACGCCGCCTGGCGACGGCAGCGGCGCGGACACGTCTGCCGGCTGTTGGCGTTTACGCTGAGCCTCGTCGAGAAGATCGTCGGCGGCGAGCTCGGCTTGCCGACGTTCATCAGGGACGTCGTCTTCGACAGGGAGCTGGGTGCTCGACGTCGTGGACGAGGACGGTCATTCCTTCATGCCCCACGAGAGCGAAGCCTTCGCGACCTTCGTAGCGCGGAGGTTCAGAGATGGAGGAGGAGCTGCAAGCAGCAGCGCCGCAGCAGGCAGCGGGCGACCCCGCAGCCGCGGGCGCAGCTGCAGCAGGAGCCTTGCCGCAGCCGCAGCCGACTGCCCAGCAGGTGATGGACGCACTGCGGACGGCGACGGCTCGAGCGGAAGCTGCCGAGAAGCGAGCCCGTGAGCTGGAGGCGCGAGCAGAGACGACAGCCAGACAACATAACGCTCAGCTTCAGCAGCTGCAGCAAGCGCCCCAGCAGCTGACCGCCGCGGTGGGCACCGCGGCGGCGAGCCCAGTGCCAGCGAGGAGCGAGGATCGTCGGAAGTGGGGCATCATCGACACGAAACTGCTGACGAAGCCAGCTCAGTTCAAGGGCAGCGAGGCAGCGTGGCCCGCGTGGTCGTTCAAGCTGCCGGCGTACATCGTGGCGCTAGACGACGAGCTGTACCAAGAGATGATCACGGCCGGGCACAAGGCCGAAGAGGACGTCACCAACGAGACGATGGATTTGGCGAAACCAGCGCTCGTCGGCGCGTCTCGGCAGCTGCTCCACATGCTCGCGCTGCTCCTGGAAGGCAAGGCGTTCGCCATGCTGCGGCCGATCCCACAAGGCGAAGGACTGTTGGTGTGGCGATGGGGTTCGAGCCCGACCAGCCAGCGTCAGCTCTGGGTCGGATGAGGAAGCTGGCGGGGTGGGCGTTCGGAGCAGCGACGATCGAGACCGACGTGAACGAGTTCGACGCGGCGGTCCAGACGCACGAGCGGCGCGGCAGCGCGGTGCCCAGCGACATCATGGCGGCGATCCTGTTAGTGGGGATCCAGGACAGGTGCCTTCAGCAGCGGCTGATGGTCAACGCCTGCCGCCTCGGGGACTACGACGGGATCGCGAAGCACGTGAAGACGTGCCTGACGAACAGGAAGACGTTCAAGGGCGCTGCCAGAGGCGCCGCAGCGGGGGCCACCGCGGCGGACGACAGCGGGCCAGCACCGATGGACATCGGATCCCTGGCGGCGGCGCTGGCAGCAGGAGGGGCGGCGCCGACCAGGTGACGACGGTCGCGGGCGCCATCGAGAAGGGCAAGGGCAAGGGGGGCGGGTGGAGCAGATGAGAAGACGGCGCCAAGAAGGGACGTGGGAAGCCTCACGACGGAAGCAGGGACCCCCGATCTCAGCACCAGACGCACAAGGGCGGCAAGGGCAGAGATGGCAATGATGGCAAGCGCGTCGAGACACGCACGTGCAGGAAGTGCCATCAGAAGGGCCACCTGATGAGAGACTGCCCTGGCAAGACTACGAGAGTGAACAGCACGGCCAGCATGGCGATCGAGCTGAAGGCCGCGTTGAACTTGGTTCAGCTGCTCACGCCTGCGGCGGGCTCAGCAGCGTCGAGCGCGCCGTCCGCGGCGCCGAGCCGCGTCGCCCAGGCGCGCGCCAACGCCGCGCAGCTGTCAACGGCGAGCTCAGCGGCCGCTCCGCGTGGCGGCAGCGCCAGCTCAAGCGGTGGCGGGGCCGCGGGAGACACCGCGTCCGCCATCCAGTGGGTGCTGCGCCTGACGGCCCAGGCAGCGGATCCTGCGAATCGGATCCCGACGTTGCGATCTCCACGGGCTGACGGCCCAGGAGGCGACGACGAGAGCTGCGAGGAGTACATCATGGTGGACTCGGGGGCCTCCAGAGCGACGCGCCCACGCAGCCGCGCCCCGAGCGCGACGGCGCGTGAGCCTGCGAAGCTCTACGACACCCGCGCAGCGGACGACGGGCGGGTGAAGCACCGCGGCGAACAGAGCGCGCATTGCGACCTGCTGGACATGTCAGATGCGCACGGAGTGGGCATCGACTGCCAGGTCGCCGACGTCTCGCGCCCCATCAGGGGGGTAGCTGAGGCGTGCGGCGACGGCCACTCTGCGCCGTTCTCCCCGACGGGCTCGTACATCATGCCCGCGGCGGTCAGCCTGCCAGAGGGGGTCGCCAACGTGCCTTTGGCGCGACAGGACAACCTGTTCTGGATGCGAGGGCGCGTCGCGGGGGCCACCGCGACGACGTCCGAGACGCTGCGGCTCGACCCGGTCGGGGCCGAGGCGCCCGCGGCAGCAGCCCCCGCGGCGGCCGATCAGCCCCGGCGCGAGGAGGCGCCGCTGGAAGAGACGGGGCCCGAGGGCGCGCCGGCCGGGGCGACGCGGGCGCCGCCGTTCCCCAGCCAGGGGGAGGTCGAGGAGCACGCGCTCGCTCGCCTGTGCGTGCCAGCCAAGGCGGCAGACGACCCGCGCCGACAGGGCGACGGGTCTGGCAGCGTCGACGAGGTGCAGATGGACTACCTGCAGCTCGGCGCCGCGGTCGCAGCTGAGGAGAGCTGGCGGCCTCAGCCGGCGGCGTGGCTTGGTCGGCCCCAGTGGATCAGCCGATCGACCAGGCCGTCATGGTGCCGCAGCTGATGGGCCCAGTCGCTGGCGACGGCGTGGAGGTGCTGCTCAACGCGCTGGTGGTGGCGCACCGCCAGTCGACCGCGGTGCGCGCGGTCTTGGGGCCTAAGGGCATGCGCCCCTTCATGTCCACTGCAGCGAGTGCGGCCGTCGACGCCCGGGGCATCGCGGAGTGCTCCCTGCGCGCCGACCAGAGGCCAAAAGCCCAGGCGTTGGCCGAGCAGATCTCCGAGGAGCGGAAACTGAAGGGCTTCGAGTGCCAGCTCGCGGCAGCGCCTGCCAGGAGCCACTCGTCGGCGGGTTTCATCGAGGCCATGAACGACCAGGTGGCCAAGCAGGCGCGCGTGATCAAGCTCCAGCTCGAGTCGGGCATGGGGGCGCGCGCCCCTGTGTTCCACGGGGCGATGCCGTGGCTGATCAGGCGCGCTGGGTGGCTCCTCGCACGGTCTGCTGTCAGGCAGGCCGCTGGCAAGACGGCCTACCGCGCCAATCGGGGCAAGCCGTGCCGCGGGGAGGCGGCCGCGCTCGGAGAAGTTGTCTGGGCCCGCGTGCCAAGCGACCGCGCGCAGAAGGCAGTGGCGCAGGAGCGCTTTGGTATCTGGCTGGGCAAGACTTAAAAAAGCGACGAGCACCTCGTCGGCGGGTCGCGGCAGACCAGCCGCCATCGGGCGATCAGGAGGCAGCCGAGGGAGCGGGGGATCAACGTGGACGTGCTGAACAGCTTCGCGGGCCTGTCTTGGGACCTCCAGTCCAAGCCCGAGCGCGCAGATGCCGCTGCAGGACAGCCCAGGGGCGGCGCCGAGCCCCACCGCGGAGACAACGTGGCGAGGGCGCGCCGGGCGCAGACACAACAGCGCCAGGCCGAGGAGGCGCGCCCAGCGGCAGCGGCAGCAGCAGCAGCAGCTCCCTGTGGCGGAAGAGCCAGCGCGACCACCTCCAGGACCCCTGGGTGCTCCGCCAGCACCCCCACCCGAGCCGAGGCTCGGACGAGCCACATGCGTGACGAAGGAGATGGTGCAGACATGCGGGCCCACCTTGAACTGTCCGAGGTGCTGGGGGGGCGAGGCGGCGCACCCTCGCAAGTGCAGGGGGGCGCGTGGAGGGGGAGCTCCTGGATGAAGCGAATCGTCAAGCAGCGGTTCACCCGTTGCCGGGCGACGCCGTCGCAGCCCCAGGGATTGAGGTGGATGCGGCAGCGGTCGGCCCCGCAGACGCGACGGCGGCGGCAGCAGGCGGTGCAGCAACAGCGGCGAGTTCATCCCAGCCACCTCCTGCGGAGGGCGGCTCAGCGGGCGACTCCGCGGGGATGGGCGTAGACTCGAGGAGCCGACCAGCAGCTCCCGCGGACAGCGAGCCACGGTCGAAGGGGTCCTGGGGCCTTGGGCCGTCTTGGGGAGCTCGGGCCCGCTGGGGCCCCCTTTGGGCCCATCTTGGGCACTTCCGGGGGCCTCCCGTGGCCCTTTTGGGTCTGTGCTGGGAGCCTTTGGGGGGCCTCTTCGTTCCATAATGGATTGTCTCGGGGCTCTCGTGGGCGATCGCGGGGCCCGGCTTGGCCGTCTTGACGCTTTCTACGGGGGCCTTTTGTCGGCTACACGTAAGAGTGACCCTTGGCCAGAGTGACCTTTAG